CAAGCAACGTACGGCTCTTTTGAAAGGTTCTGAGCCAGGCTGTAAGAATGTCGGTTTTGAGAGCAGGATGGATTGGAATGAGAGAAACTTCCTTCTTGTGATTCACATTTCGCTTCACCTCCTCATGCTTCACTCCCAAGAATTAAAGACTGCTCCTTACTGGGGGGCCTGAGAGCCAGCCCCAGAATTCCCTCTTCACCATGTCTCAGGAGCCTCATACAGGGACTACCTCGCCACGCAGAGAAACATTGTCCTGCAGTTGGAGGAAGCTCCTCATGCATATGTTTGTGTTGAAAAGCCAGATTCTTAGTCCATGGTTTTCTTTCAGGGCCCTGCTTCTCTCTCTCCTTTCCTGTGCTGGGAGGTTGGGGGAGGGTGATGGGCACTTTCATGCTTGCTTTCTTTCTTTAAAAAAAATTATGTATTTATTTGAAAGAATTACAGAAGAGGGGAGGGAAGAGATATCTTCCATTCTCTAGTTCACTCCCCAAATGGCTGCAGTGGCCAAGGCTGGGCTAAGATGAAGCCAGAAGCCTGGAACTCCATCCAGGTCTCCCATATGAGTGGCAAGGGCCCCAGAACGTGGGCCATCCTCTGCTGCTTTTGTAGGAGCCATAGTAGGGAGTCGAATTGGAAGTGGACAGCCTTGCCTTGACCCAAAACTCATATGAGATGCTGGCATTGCAGGTAGCAAACTAACCTGCCGTGCTACAACGCCAGCCTCCTCTCCTCTGCTCTTTTCAAGATTTATGTATTTATTTGAAAGCCAGAGTTACCAGATAGAGGGAGGGACACAGAGAGAAGGGACGGTGCTTTCTGCAGGAACCACTCAGTGTGATCCACCATAGTGTTGATGACAGAAATGCAGGAGTTGAGGAAAAACACTTAGAAGATGTTGTAGCAGTTAAATGTATCTGTTGAAACTAATAAAATTTGTGTTTATATTTAATAGTTCTTTAATTTTATTTGTCTAGAAATAGACTTTTCTGCAAGGGATTGACAATTAGAAAACAAAGACGGAGCCGGTGCCGTGGCTCACTAGGCTAATCCTCCGCCTTGTGGCGCCGGCACACCGGGTTCTAGTCCTGGTCGGGGCGCCGGATTCTGTCCCGGTTGCCCCTCTTCCAGGCCAGCTCTCTGCTGTGGCCAGGGAGTGCAGTGGAGGATGGCCCAGGTGCTTGGGCCCTGCACCCCATGGGAGACCAGGAGAAGTACCTGGCTCCTGCGCGGTGCGCCGGCCGCAGCGCGCCAGCCGCGGCGGCCATTGGAGGGTGAACCAACGGCAAAGGAAGACCTTTCTCTCTGTCTCTCTCTCTCTCACTGTCCACTCTGTCAAAAAAAAAAAAAAAAAAAAAAAAAAAAAAAAAAAAAAAAAAAAAAAAAAGAAAAAGAAAGAAAGAAAACAAAGACTGGCCTCGTGCCACAAATGACCCAGCCCCAGCCCCAGTTTGGAGGCCAAGGCCCCATCCAAGTTCCCTCCTTGTTGTCCCAAAAGAGGATTAGTTCTTCCTTACTCCAAGCCAAAGAGCCTAGTTCTTCTTCTTGTTTTTTTTTTTTAAACTGAAAAACCTGTTTGGCAAAATACACATAACATAAAATATACCCTCTTTACCATTTTTTTGTGTACAATTCATTAGTAGTAAGTATATTCACCTCATTATGCAGCCAATCTTCAGAACTCTTCATCTTGTAAAACTGAAACTCTACACCCATTCAACAACTCCCTGTTCCCCTGACCCAATTCCCTGGCAAGTCCCACTTGACTCTGTCTCTAAGAACTTCATTCTTCTAGGTGTGTCGTGTAAGTGCAATCATATTTTTTTTTTTGTCCCTGGTTTGTTTCACTTGACATAATGTCCTTATTATTGGAGCAGCTATCAGAATTCTGTTCCTTATTCAGGTTGAATAATATTCCACTTAGGTTTATGCAATGTTTTGCTTATCAGTAATGTATCAGAAAGAACTTGGCTTCTTTCTACCCTTTGACTGTAGTGAGTAATGCTGCCATGAACTTGGGCATGCAAATATCTCTTCAAGACTGTACTTTGAATTCTTATGTATATGTATCCAGAAGTAGAAATAGTGGATCACGTGGTATTTCTGTTTTTAATTTTTGAGGAATAACCATACTATTTTCCATAGTAGCTGTTCCATTCTACATCCCCACCAAGAGTGTGAAAAGGTTCTAACTTCTCTGTATCCTGGCCAACACTTATTTTCTGGTTATTCTGATAGTAGTCATTCTAGTCGGTATGAGGGGGCATCTACTGATGTCTAGCTTTGTATTTCTGTAATGATCAGTGATATTGGACTTGTTTATTGGGCTTATTGTCCTTTTTTTGTGTCTTTGGAGAACTATCTAAGTTCTTTACCAATTTTTAAATGCAGTTGTTTGGTTTTTTATGGTAGAAGTTTTTAATATCTTCTAGATATTAATCCTTTATCCTTGTATATTATTTATAAATATTTTCACTCATTCCATAGATTGCTTTTTTTTACTCTATATTGTGTCCTTTGATGCATAGTCCAGTTTTTCTATTTTTTCTTTTGTGCTTTTGGCATCATATCCAAGAAATCACATAATGTCATAATGTTTTCTTCCTTGTGTTTTCTTCTACAAGTTTTATAGTTTCATATTTGTAGGTTGTCTTTGGTTCATTTGAGGTAATTTTTGTATATGATATAAGGGTAAGAGTCCAGCTCACTGCATGTGAGTTTAACTTCTGCCAACACTGTGTGTTGATAGGAGCCCTGCTTTCACACTTACCATCAGAATGAAAGAAGAAATGGCAAACAAAACACTGGGGAAATTTGGACACTGGTTTATGCCTTGATTTTGGTGATTTGGAGAAGGGGACCATGGCAACTTGAAAGCTAGCTCATGATTTGATATTGCATACATATAATGTGAACATTTCACTGTCAACATTGTGATTAAATCAAAAGTGGAGATTAGCATAGTAGCATGGAATTTTGTTTGAAAAAAGGATCATTATTACTCAACCTCATATCCCCTTAAATTTAAATTCCTGATGAGGACAAGAAAATTGTTGTGGCCACATGATTGGAAGTGACAGTCTAACTTAGCCTAATGTAAACATTTACTCAATGAACTTATCAAGTCCAGTGACTGAGGGGAGGGGAAGGTATCTCCTTTGAAAGACTTTTGTCTTTTTTGTCTTGACTGCTGGGAAATTAAGTGGCAGGTTTTGGGCTCAGTTATATATCTTTACATTCTTCAGTTCTTGACCTCTACTCATTTGTTTTGCTTTGATTTTCTTTTCTTAAAGATTTTATTTATTTATTTGCAAGGTAGAGTTACAGACAGAGAGAGGTAGAGACAGAGAGAAAGGTCTTCCATCTGCTGGTTCACTCCTCAAATGGTCACTGACAGCTGGAGCTGAGCTGATCTGAAGCTAGGAGCCAGGAAATTCTTCCGGGCCTCCCATGCAGGTGCAGGGGCCCAAGCACTTGGGCCATCTTCTGCTGTTTTCCCAGGCCACAAGCACAGAGCTGAATTAAAGAGGAGCATCTGGGACTTGAATTGGCACCCATATGGGATGCCGGTGCTACAGGCAGAGGCTCAGCCTACTGCGCCACAGTGCTGGCCGCCTGATTTTTCCTGTCGCTCCCCCTCTTCATGGAGGAGCAACACTAAATCCTGCCTAGGCTTCATATCCGAGTCACGGCACCATTATGTCGCTCCCCCTCTTCGTGGAGGAACGACACAGGACCCTGCGCTGTTCTTTCATCTGCTCGGCCCTCCCCGGGTTTGCTGCTGGTTCTTCCCGGGTTGGCTACTATCCCTTCCACCTCCGTGGAAGGGCAGTTCCCCCTGGCCACATTCCCCACTTCTGCAGGGGAGCGGCACACCGCCGGCCGGCTCTCTCGGGGGCTGCACAGGTGTTCCCTTAGATGTTCCCCTTAGATGTTCCTCTTAGATGTTCCTGGTGCATGCCGTCTCTCTCCTCCTTTATAGTCCTCCTCTGCCAATCCTAACTCGGCTGCCCACACGCCGAGTACGCTGCTCTCCTCCAATCAGGAGCAAGTCCTACAGTTTATTGGCTGAACTGGAGGCAGCTGTGTAGAAGCTGTTTTCTTCTCTCCCAGCGCCATATTGTGGGAGAGCAGACGCATAGAACAAGTCCCAATTCCAGTAACTTAGTCTAGTCCGGGTTGCTCCCCACATTTCCTTCCTCCCTCCCTCCCTCCCTCCCTCCCTCCCTCCCTCCCTCCCTCCCTCCCTTCCTTCCTTCCCTCCCCCCTCCCTCTCTCCTTCCCTCCCTCTCTCCTTCCCTCCCTCCTTCCTTCCTTCCCTCCCTCCCTCCCTCCCTCCCTTCCTTCCTTCCTTCCACTTGAAAGGCAGAGTTATAGAGAAAGAGAGAGGAAAAGACAGAGATCTTCCATCTGCTGGTTCACAAGGCCACACCTGTCAGAGCTGGACCAGTCCTAAGTCAGGAGCCAGGAGTTTCATCTGGGTCTCCCACGTGGGTGCAGGGGCCCAAACCCTTTGGCCGTCTTCCCTTGGTTTCCCGAGTGCATTAGCAGGGAGCCGGATTGGAAGTGGAGCAACTGCGACTCCCAACTGGTGGCCATATGGGATGCTAGCAGGCTGTTGGCAGCATAACTCATCATGCCACAGTGCCGGTCCCCATAATTGGTTTTTTTAAACAGTCCTGGTTAGCCTCACTGTGAAGCAGAGGACAGTTACGATGTATGAGGCTCCCCGGGATTTGATGCATTTTCATTTTACTTAAGAAAAGGACAGTGTACAAAGTCTGCTACAGAAGGAAAACCTCTAAAAGACTCTTTGGCTCTTTTCCTGAAGATAATTGAATATTCACTTTCCTTTTTCTTTGCCAACAGTTTAAAGATTTATATTAATAATTGAGATGTAATCGACTTTTCAGATTTTTCTCCCACTTCAACAAAAGAAGCAAAGTCTAATATAATCAACACTGCTGACTAAAAATTTTATTCTTCTTTAACTTTTTTTTTAGGACTCAGCCCAAAACCATGTTTGCCCAAGTTGAATCTGATGACGAGGAAGCAAAGAATGAACCAGAATGGAAAAAACGTAAAATATGAAGACTGTTTGCAAATGGGTAGGGTGGATATGGAGCAGGGTTTTTTCCTTAATGCTTGTGAAATAAAAAATGCAGTTTTATGAACAGATTTTGTCCTTTGCATTATTGAGCTATTTAAAAAGATTAGTAGCCACCCTTCACTAAAGTTGTGTTTACATTTTCCTGCCTACCATTATTAAGCTGTGTTACAAGTAAACACGAAACAGATTCTTAGCCCATCACCAAAGATGAGCGTTTAGGGTATCTGGAGACTACTCAGTAGTTACTGGTCTTGTGCAGGCTCATAACCTTGGAGAGGAAGATGTACATTGAGATATACATCTGTCTTGAACAATTCTTAGGAACATAATTTGGAAGTAGAGATCAAAAAGTTTAATATTTCTGTATAATGTCACAACAGTTGTTTACATGACTGTAAATAATTAGGCCGAGTTCAAACCAAAATCATTGCCATACTAGGAAAGAACATGTATCTGATTATCCTCCAGCAGCACAATGTGGTGCTAGGAGTTAGGGGGGCGGGCTTTGAAGTCAGGGCAATGTGGGTTCAAGGCCTGGCTGTGCTCTTTGCTGTTTGGGTTACCAGAGGAGAGCTGTTAAACTTCTCTCTTCTTGCCTTGATGGTCACAGTACCCGCCTGGTAGTTTGGTCGGGAAGGTTGAAGGAGTCTCTCCTAGCACAGTATTTGGTATAGTATAGGGCATACAGTAAATACACACTAAATATTTGCTTTGGAAACATAGAGCTAAGGTGGACATGTGATGCAATAGTTAGGACACTGCTTCAGATGCCAGCATCCCATATCAGAATGCCTGGGCTTGGGTCCTGGCTCTGCTTCCAGTCCAGCTTTTGCTGATGTACCCCCTAGGAAGCAGCAGGTGATGCCCAAGTGATTCAGTCCCTGCCACCCACATGGGAGATCTGGAATGAGCTCCTGATTCCCGGCTTGGCCTGGCCAAACCCTGGCTATTGTGGGCATTTGGGGAGTAAAACAGTGGATGGAACATCTCTGTGTCTGCCTTTAAAAAGGACTTTGTGGAAAAAATAGGTCTAATAATGTCATCTTTGATTTTTATTGGCATTAAAGTCGAATGGTGTCCTGATGTTTTTGTAAACGTAAAGGGCTAGATACGTAGAAGTTGTTAAAAATCCGATTCTTCTGCTTTCTGTGACTAGGAAACTAAAACAAATGTTGGCAGTTTGTCCAAAGTAATAATGAGTCAATAGAATAAAATCCTGTGGACTGATTTCATGCAGACATGGGATCGTTTTGCATGTTAAATAGTCCCCTCTAGACTCTGCAGATTTTTTCGTATTTGCCTTCTGTCCTGCTCTCCTTGTACTGTTGAAGTAAGTAATTTTAAAAGTGAATGGTTGGGGCCGGTGCTGTGGCGCAGCAGGTTAACGCCCTGGCCTGGTTCCCATATGGCGCTGGTTCGAGACCCGGCTGCTCTGCTTCCTATCCAGCTCTTTGCTATGGCCTGAGAAAGCAGGAGAAGATGGCCCACATCCTTGGGCCCCGCACCCACGTGGGAGACCTGGAAGAAGCTCCTGGCTCCTGGCTTCAGATCGGCACAGCTCCAGCCATTGCGGCCAATTGGGGAGTGAACCAGCGGATGGAAGACCTGTCTCTCTCTCTCTCTCCCTCTCTCTCTCTCTCTCTCTCTCTCTCTCTGCCTTTCCTTCTCTCTCTGTGTAACTCTGACTTTCAAACAATAAATAAAATAAATCTTTTAAAAAAAGTTTAAAAAAGAGGTGAGTGGTTATCCAGCATCTGTGCCAGAAAGTTCCTGTTTCTAGGAGCTTCACACACACTGTCTCTTTCCTCCGCAAATCCTCTTAGCAACCACTTGCCCTCCCACAGCTCTGTTCTCCCAAGGGGGCAGCGGGCATTCTTCTATAGATAAGCCCTCCGAGATCCCACTGTCCGTCTCCCCTCCCACCCTGTCTTCATCCCATTCTCCTTCCCTTGTGACTTAGCCAGCATTTGGTAGTTGGTAAGAAAAAGAACTGATGTTCACTACATGCCTCCTAAATGATGAGTGGTAGTCTAAGCTGTTGACTTGCATCAGCTGATTTATTTATTTATTTATTTATTTATTTTGACAGGCAGAGTGGACAGTGAGAGAGAGAGACAGAGAGAAAGGTCTTCCTTTGTCGTTGGTTCACCCTCCAATGGCCGCCGTGGCCGGCGCGCTGCGGCCGGCGCACCGCGCTGATCCGATGGCAGGAGCCAGGAGCCAAGTGCTTTTCCTGGTCTCCCATGGGGTGCAGGGCCCAAGCACTTGGGCCATCCTCCACTGCACTCCCTGGCCACAGCAGAGAGCTGGCCTGGAAGAGGGGCAACCGGGACAGAATCCGGCGCCCCGACCGGGACTAGAACCTGGTGTGCCGGCACCGCTAGGCGGAGGATTAGCCTAGTGAGCCGCGGCGCTGGCCCTGCATCAGCTGATTTAATCCTCACAGAATCCTCGTGAGTAGATGAAATTGCTAAACCCATTTTACAGATGAGGCAGAAGAGGTTCAAGATGTCAATCTGAGGTCACAGCCACCAAGGGCCAAATGAAGAAACCCCAGATCTCTAAACAGCTGTAATTAACAAACTGCTCCAAGATTCCTACTCCTGTTGAAATATACTTCTTCTCAAATTAATTACAGACCAATATTTTGTTCCAGCTGCTTAGGATTTGTGCATTTATGGCTTCTTGGATGAAATTCACTGAAGGCCTCTCACATTTCTCCCTCTCTTAGCATAAATGCTGCACCATATGGAAGTGTTTGCTCGCACAGCCCAGCCATGGAGGCTTGAGGGGAGGAGTGCACAGCCTGATGGAAGTGGCCTTGGCCAAGTCTGCTCTGGTGTGAGGGGAGGGGAGAGCGGGGGAGGCACATTTAGCACGAAGGTGGTTTTCTTATCGTTACCCACAACACAAGTGGGCCACTGGGTGTTTGAGATGAGAACTTTTCTCCCACAGTATTGAGTTGGGTGAGGGAGGGCCGTCGCATCAGGACTGGACAAATGGTGGGTGTTCCTGTGTGGTGGTGGGTGTCGCAGTTGGCCATCCCTCAGGCCCCCAGGCCCATTATCTGCCCCCACAACCCTGCTTCGGTCACCTGTGTTTCTAGTTGCTCAGAGAAGAAACTTGAGAGCATCACGCTCCTTCGCCCCATTTCGTTGCTTGCTAATTTCTGCCCCGTCATCTTGTGAGTTTCTGCTATTGCCTTCCTCCTATTTCTCTCCCATCTCTGCTGGGTTTCAGACTGTAGCCTTCATTGGGGCCACTCGGGAACCCCTTTCCTGGGTGTTCTCCTGTGACCCCCATCTAATCCATCCTTCATGCTGTTGTCAGAGTTCGCTGTTCGGAAGCAAAATGGATCATTTCCTTCTCTTGTGCTGGTGGACTTCTGTGGCTCTGAACGACATCCAGAACACCGGCCCTCCCTCTCTTGCTTGCTTTAACTCCTGGTGATCTGGCACATGCTTCTGAGGTGCAACCGCGTGGAACCCAGGTGGAACCACCTTGTTCTCTGGCCCCTCAATGTCTATGCACATATCCCTTAGCTCCTCCCCCTGCCACTCCCCCACTCCCACCCTCGGCTGCCGGGAAACTCCCTATCTGTTTTTGGAGACGAGAGTCAAATTCCCCTTCCCTAAGCAGCCTCCCATGACCCACCTCTGCTGACAATTTCACTCTTCTGCTCTCCTCTCCCTTCTGCAGCCTCCTTTTGTAGCGTGCAGTAAGTGTGGACAAGTGCATGGCTTGTGGGTCAAGTGTGTGTGTGTGTGTGTGTGTGTGTGTGTGTGTGTTGTAAAAACAAAAGAGCATTGGGTTCTGAAATACCCATACATTCATTTAGTGAATTAATGAGCCGTGTTCTATCCACAATTGTGTTCCTGAAGATGCTCTTGAAACCCTTGGCAGGGGGGAAGAAATAGGGAAAGATGAGGAAGGGAAGAGAACGAGGCGCGAGAAGACTCCTCATACCAGAGCCTGCTCTGCGTCCCTGCTGCTTTGCTCCTCCTCCTCTGTTGGGATCTATCTCCAGGCAACTGTTGGAAAGCGGAATGGGCTGTGCATGTCCTGCTGTGTCACAGCCTGCGCCCCCTGCCATCCTCAAGCACTCACCTCCTGGTTTTTTTTGTTTGTTTGTTTGTTTTTTTTTTTTTTTGACAGGCAGAGTGGACAGAGAGAGAGAGAGAGAGAGAGAGAGAAAGGTCTTCCTTTGCCGTTGGTTCACCCTCCAATGGCTGGCGCGCTGTGGCTGGCGCATCGTGCTGATCGGAAACCAGGAGCCAGGTGCTTATCCTGGTCTCCCATGGGGTGCAGGGCCCAAGCACCTGGGCCATCCTCCACTGCACTCCCTGGCCACAGCAGAGAGCTGGCCTGGAAGAGGGGCAACCGGGACAGAATCCGGCGCCCCGACCGGGACTAGAACCCGGTGTGCCGGCGCTGCAAGGTGGAGGATTAGCCTAGTGAGCCATGGCGCCGGCCCATCACCTCCTGTCTTGGTGGACTTGGTACCCGGAGCGTCATGGGACCCTGAATTACCAAAACATCCTGAGAGATTCCCGTGTGGGACTTCTGAACTGGGGCAAGGTGTCTGCAGACTCCCTCTAATCCTACACAGTGTACTCTGCTTAGGCTAAACTGACATCTCAGACACACTGGCCTCCACTCATAGTGGGTAGTCCTGTTGTTCCTGGTTAGACCTTAGTATTTATTCCTTGAAAGATTTTGAGCTTCTGTCCCAGTAAAAAGAGTTCAGCTTTATGATCATATGAAGGTAGCATCCAAGCGTGAGCACTTCTGAGATCTAAAAGTGAATGTGATAGGACTTGAGGCTATTTGAGAAAGCCTTTTTAGAATCAAAATTGCCATTGGAGATCGTGGGCGCGGGGGGGGGGGCACCCTGGGCTGCTCTGACTTCTATAGCTGGTCTTACCCTTCTGTCCTCAGGACAGACAGACATCCAGCACTGTGGCCTTCTAATTCAAAGCATCTATGAGTTTCTAGCCTGTTGGTTAAGTCTTCCTCACTGCCTTTTTCATTCCAAGACATCCTAGAAAGGGTTTGCTGTTTGTA